TTATGGAGGCTTTCAGAGAGCTCCTGGGGGCTGGAGGGGCAGAAATGAGCAAAACACGGGCCGTTTTTTGCTCAATTATGCCCCTCCAGCCCCCAGGAGCACTCTATAAGCCTCCATAATGCTATGCATGCCATTTTGTTTGACAAAAAACAGCCCCATTTTCGTGAAAAACAGGCCATTTTTTGCTCATCCCCCCCCCCCCCAGGAGCACTCAGCAAGCCCCCCCAAGGGTATTCATGCCTTTTTCGGGGGGGAAATGGGCCCGTTTTAGTGAAAAATGGGCCGTTTTTGGGAGGTTTGCAGAGTGCAAAACTTTTTTCCCCCTTTCCTTTCGGAAAGCTCTTTAACTGATTGATAAGAATTATATTGATCAAGTGCTGTGCCAGCAGAAACAAAGTGCTGCAGATTGTCAGCGATTTCCTTCTCCAGCACATGGAGAAATACACCTGGAAACATCTACCTACCTACCTATTCTCTCTCTCTACCTATCTACTGTATTTCTCCCCCCCTCTCTCTATTTCTCTCTCGCTATCCCTCTACCTACCTACCTACACACACTCTCTCTCCCTACCTATCTACTGTATTTCTCTCTCCCCCCCTCTACCTACCTACCTACGTACCTATCTACCTACTCTCTCGCTCTCCCTACCTATCTACTGTATTTCTCCCCCTAAGGAGGAGAAACTCTTTTAAGGAGAGAACAATCTGATAAGTCAAGAGAGAGAAATGAGTAAATGCTGACAAGATGTTGAAATGAGGGCAAACATGATTTGGATAACATGACCTCTAACATTAGAAAGTCTCCCCCCTCTTTTCTGTTTTTTTTTAAATCCATTTTTGTTTTATCTTTCGTCTCCAGGTGCTGAGGTGGGCATCAGCATATCACGGATCCATGCCCGTGGGCCAGTGGGAATTGAGGGGCTCTTGACGACTAAGTGGTTGCTACGTGGCGAAAATCACATTGTTTCTGACTTTTCTGAGCAAGGGAGCATGAAATACCTTCATGAGAACCTTCCCATTCCACAAAGGAATACTAACTGAGAATCTGCGTGAAGGAGCGTGGTACTTATAGGACTGTTGTTATTTCAGAACCTAGCTTGGGAAGCAGATAAGCCTTCTCTAGGCATGCAGACCTTTCTGCACTTTTGATTTATGGGTGCTCAGGAGTGTGGAAAGATGTGGTACTCTGCTTTAGTTCTCCCCCACCCCCTTAACTGCATAATGCAGGTGACACATCCAGATGCACACAGGATCTCTTGCAGTGCAGGAAAAAGAACTTTTGAAGATGATGACGATGATGATGTGCCATCAACTTTTTTTCATAGTTCACTCCAAATCACTGGAAAGTTTTTGGCTAGTAGCAGAAGTGAATGCCTTTTTTTCCCTGATGCTTTTCTTGCTTTGGGAAAAACATTGGGGAATTTTTCTTTCTTTCTTCTTCTCTAAAAATTTTGTAGCAACTTATTTTAATTTTTAAAAGCTCTCCATCAGTTCATGTCTTATTTAATATATTGAATTACCTTAATAAATATTCCACAAAATGAATGGTCTTTATCCTCCAAATGTTATTTTTCATGCCTAATATCCTTTAATTACTGGCTGCCTTGTAGGTTAAGAGGCTAGGACAGTAATAGTTGTATCAATCAGGGTTTTCACTCTAACCCTTTTATGAATATTTGTATCAAATATTTTGTTCATGAATTTTATATAGAATTTTATTTCCCCTGAGACAAACATATTTTTCAAATTTCATGGTTTTGCAAATAAAACTCCCTTGCAATAAAATTATGGATTCAGCCATTTTGTTTGCAATATATATTGTGTTGTACTAGTGATAGGTGACACTTGTATATAGCCAGAAACACATTGTAGAGTTGTACTCGATTAGCACTCACCTTATTTTTGTTTGGCAAAATCGTTTTCAAGCTCACATGTACATTATGAGTTTAATGGTAATTATTTCTCTTTTGAATACATCAAATAGAGCAAGATGCTGATTTGCCCATATTAGCAAGCTTCCAGCTGACACATGAAGCTTATGTTTTTGAGATCCAATATTGGCACTTGATCTTTTGAACGGGACTGCTTTCATTGCACCTCTCACAGGCTTCATGGTAGATTTCATTTTAATTTTCCACATAGTGAGTTGTGCGTCTATGTGTGTATCCCTGGTTTCTGTCTTTTCTTGATTAGGTAGTCCAGTTAAAACTGTTTCCAAGGAAGGTTTTAATCAGGAGCTATAAAAACCTCTTGTTAGGTAAGCTCCCCGTTGTGAGAGTGAGTACATTCAGAGAAGCGTTGTGAGAGTTGTGTTGGAGAACATGCAAACTAGCATACAGAATACTGCAGTTTAAATAGGCTTTTACTTTCGTGGAAATAGAGGTATCAGAATCCATCAAACAGTCCAAGTCATACAAGGATAAGACAGTCAGTCATGAATGTCTTTCTAATCCAAATAACATAGTCCAGTATCGTACAATCAGTCAGATACACAAAGTTTGCTAATAGTTGCAAAACTTACAATAGCTCACGGCACTTCCAGCTTCCAAAAACTCTCAGATCAGATCAGCCCAGCATCTAACAAACAGAGTGCTAACAGTCATTCTGGCTCCTTCTTATGGCCAATTGAGGAAAACAGCAACCAATCACATTTTACAGTATGATTTAAAGAAACAAGTACAAAATTGTTACATGATTTATATATTGCCAACCCAACGGTTAGATTATACTCCTAACACCTCTGGAGAATGTTCTGGTAAACATCAGCACAAAATTTCAGATATTTATAGCCTATCATTTCTGTCCAGACAGAAATTCAATAACATTTTGTGTTTCCGAATTTAAAAAGCTATACTTTTGGACATTTCTTTAAACTGAGACTCTATTAAAATGCCATGTTTTCCCAACCTATTGATTTTCTTTATATTTGATAAAATATGTACAAATTAAACATCTTTTACAGTTTCCAAGAAACTAACAACATTGGTTGCATTCAGTCGAGTAGCCATTAGATCCTCAAATGTCCACTGATACAACAAAGGGATACATACTGTATGTGTTGTTGTCTGTATGTCACCACAATCACAAAGAACAGACGCCATTGGATAGCCCCATGTGTTCACAGTGTCTCTGGATCTTGTACCCGTATGCAGTCTATATAACCATTTCCATACTTCCCAGCTTTTGCCAGCCCCAGGTGGCCACTCCTCCAATGGTTCCATTTGGTGTTGATTCTCTGTCGCTTTCCATAGTTCCACTCTGCTTTCAAATTCTTCAAAATTTTCCATGGATTTAAGGAAGCTTTTCCTGGATTTTAGTCTCTGTTGAGCTGGTTGTTGGCCATAGTGAATAGAGAATTTTGGAATAATTTTACATCACTTTGTAAACCGGGAGGCACTCAGAACAGTCACTCACACCCTTGTGACCTCAAGACTGGACTATTGTAATGTGCTCTACATGGGGCAGCCCTTGAAGAGCATTCAGAGACTTCAGCTTGTTCAGAATGCGGCCGCGCGAGCGATTGTGGGTGCACCTTGGTACACCCACGTTACACCTATCCTCCGCAAGCTGCACTGGCTGCCTATTAGACTCCGGATACGTTTCAAGGTGCTAGTTGTTACTTTTAAAGCCCTACATGGTATCGGACTTGGGTACTTGAGAGACCACCTCCTGCCAATTACCTCCCTGTGACCAATTAGATCCCACAGATTAGGCCTCCTCCGGATTCCATCAGCTACCCAGTGTCGACTGTCGACCCCCTGGGGGAGGGCCTTCTCTGTGGCTGCTCCGGCTCTCTGGAACGATCTCTCTGTGGAGATTCGGACCCTCACCACCCTTCAGGCTTTCCGCAAAGCCTTTAAGACCTGGCTGTTCCGGCAGGCCTGGGGCTGATGAGTTCCCAGCCCCACTCGAATTGTTGTGGCTGTTGAGGAGTTTTAATCTGTTTTTCTGTAATTGTTTTGTCTTGTTGGTTTTTTGTATTACCCCCTCCCCTATGAGTTAGTTAGCCGCCCTGAGTCCCCCCGGGGAATAGGGCGGCATACAAGTTTAATAAACCATAACCAAACCATAACCATAACCAATAGATCCAATCTAATTTATATATCCACGTGTGTATTAATTGGTCTCTTCATTATGAACTTTCAGGACAAATGAAGGCGTTGAAGAAGAAATAGCCACCATTATGTAACATCAGTGATACAAAAGGACTTCTTTTTACCTTGCATGAAATGTTACCTTTGTAGACTTGTACATTTGATTATTATATGCCATCAAGTCATTTTTTATTCCAAGTGACTACATAGATTTTCTTCATGATAATCTCTCCCTAACCTGATATTTCAGATCTTCCATTATTGCACCCATTGCCACTGTAACTAAGCCCATTCACCTAGCTGCAGATCCTTTACTTGTCCACCCTGGTAAATACTTAATTTAACTCTTGAGATTGCTGTGCCACTGTCTATCTCTTTTGGGTAAGTACAGGAATTTTATGGACTAGGGTTAGAATACATTATATAATAATTTCTCTACTGATTAAAATGTTCAACACATTAGCTTGACTTTGATAAATGTTGACACATTGATACCATGATTAAGACCATTCTTACCCAATACTCTACTAGGAAATCTAATCAGCTGCTTTGTTGTGTTATTGTGGTCTTGCAGCATGCTAAATGCTTTCAAACATAGCTTATGCTCCCCCTGTAGTTTTGAACAGCCTTATTTGATTTATTGATCTGAAGCTAGACTGAGCTGAACTGAATATATTTGCTGTATGATAAAACTGCATATATTCTGGATGGAATTTCAGACAAGATTGAAAAAAGATGTTTAATTTTCTTTTGGGCATTGGAGAAGCAAAATATTTGGAGTTCTGGCCAGATTTACTTAACAACCACATTACTAACCAGCAATTCACTTAAATATGGCAAGAAAAGTTTTTAAATGGGGCAAAACTAACTTAACAAATTTCCCACTTAGCAATATAAATTTTCAATTGGGCTCAACTGTGGTTGTAAGTCAAGAACCACCTGTACTTGCCCAAATATCTGGAAATGCCCATTGGATCTTAACACTCAGAGGTGTCTCTGAATATTCAGTAGCAATTTGGGAATCCAGCAATACAAGCATTTAAATATATCCTTCTCTAAAGAATATTTTACATTCCACCATCCATGTATTCTAATGTGCCAGGTTCTGGGAATCTTTTCTCCCACCCTCTCAGATGTGTCTAATTTTAATATTGTTGAACTATTTTCTGATGTTTGATTGAATCATTATAGATCTGTTGCTGCTGCTTCTTTGGATATCTTGCTTGATTCTAGAGATGGAAACAAATGCTTTCTACCCAAAAGTAATACAATAGTTGATGGTTCATCTCTGAATGGGTTTTTGCTTTGAACAAGTCGTAACAGAAGCACTATGACTATCCAATCACCGCCAAAGGAGTTACTAAAAATATAGATTTTTTTAAAAAAATCATGATGGGTTTCTAACTTTTCCAAAGGACAAACATCTTCAACCTGCTTTAGTCTTTCTCTTAGTTCCCAACTTCTGGTTCCTGGTTCTGAGAAAGATCAATTTCTTCCACTCTCCAGAAAATACATGTTCTTTATTCATTCTAGTTTATTTTAATCTCTGTTAGTAAACTCATCCATCTTAGAAAGGGTCTTTTGTTTTCAGGTTAATACTACTACTGTTATTATGTTCAGGCTCAAATCAATCTGCTGCAATTTTAGAGAAGGGTGGAACAGTCTGTAATATAATCCTTGAGGCTGCCAGCAGAATAAATATAGCACAGTGCTAAACACAGATGGCTAAAGAACAAGGGATCCAGACAATCTACCCTCACGCTACTTTTGAGTCTCCCCTATTTCCTGTTCTTTTCAGCTTCTTCCCAAGAAATCTTCAGCAGCACTTCTCTTGCTGTGATATTGTCATTCACCACCAAATGTTGTCCCTCTGCAAGATCGCCGATTCTTTGTTCATTAGCAATTCTAGGTCAGCCTGCTGTGAGAGTCTCCTCAGTCAAGAGAGAATCACGTTCTGTATCAATGTCTCCAGACAACAGCCCTTCCCAAGCTTTCAGCAAAGCCATTTGCTGAGAATCCCTGTCTTTGATGATCCTTCGGAGAACCTGTATAAGTACTTTGAGCACTGCAGTGATGCCATAGAAGACACCATCCAAAGAGGCGGGAAGTGCTTAGTGTACTGTAAAAATGGTCGCAGCAGATCTGCAACTATCTGCACTGCTTACTTGATGAAGCATCAAAAGCTCAGGTTGAAGGAAGCCTTTGAGGTACTGTGAGCATGCTGAAAATAAACATTACTTCTGCATCTGATTAAATGGACTTATACATTGATGGTGTATTTAACTGGATGGAATACATTGGCCATCTCAGTAACAATGATTCAGCATTTTGTTTTATAAAGGAACATAATGAAAGTGCCACAACACAATTGAATTATGATAATTATGAATTATGATAATAGCTCATTTAAATCTCATCTGATTAATGGGAACTTAAAAAATGTGAACTCTGAAGACTAAATGTAAATTATTTTAATCTGATTCAAAGCAAAAAATATAAGATGAAATTTGTCAACTTAATTGATGAAATTTTGTACTTCCAACAATTACGTAGTGCAATACTTTGTTAATGCCAGACATTTCAAAAATAGTCTTTCTATGCTACTTTTACTTGCAATCTTTCTGAGAAACATTATTATTATTATTTCTCTATTTTCTTTTTTTTCCTATGGAGAGTAAAATAATTCATTTTCTCCCATCTTGAGATTCACAGTTAGCTACTCATGCTATAATTTCCTCTTCTGCTATCAGAATCCAGTTTTTGTGTTGTTTCTTGACTGAGCAACAATGTTTAAAAAAAAGTGTGGATATGAGAGATATTGATGCTTGAGTCAAACTTCTGTCTCTCTTTAACAATAATGTTACTCCAGAATTAGTATTGCCTTCAATCTTGACTCTAGAAAGAAATAATGTTGGTGTGTGTGTGTGTGTGTGTGTGTGTGTGTGTGTTCCTTAGTATTTCTTGAAATCATTTCATTACCTTTAATTTATTCTATACAATCCTATTCATAAATGGTGGGCATGATTTTCTGCTTCTTTGTCTAACACAATTTAATATTTTTCTTTATTTGCAAATTGCACTTCAGCTAAGTCACAGAAAGCTAAACCAGTATTTAGATGCACACATCTAAATATTGATTTTATCAAGTTCAAATCATATCTTCTCCAAATTCTCTGACTATGCCTCTCTAACCCTAGGTCATCAACTCCCTTCAGAGAGAAAGTTTTTAAAAAATGACAAAAGCTGGAAGTTAGGGTGGTAGTAACAACCTCCCAAGAAGAATAAGTTGGTCTAGGAAACTGCTTTCTAACTTCATAGCCGTGCCAGAGTTATTGGGAAAAAAGCAACATTCAGGAAGTTGCCTTATTTCGTATCAGACCTCTTCTCTTTTTACTTTACCATCTTTTGCACTGATTAGCAGTAGATCTTGGGTGTGGTGGCATCTTCCCTCTCACAGCTGTTTTATCCTTTTCACTGGAAATGATTGGGATGGGACTTTGGACTTGTTGCATACAAAATACTTGTTCTACCACTGAATTATAATGTTATTATAACAATTGTATCCTATTTTGTTTTATAATTTTAGGACAAAAGGCTTGGGAGAAAAAGTCCTTATAATCAATGCAATATGCTTTTTCTCATACCTTGTAGATTGTGAAGATTGCCAGGCCAATGGCAGAGCCTAATGTAGGATTTTGGTCTCAGCTACAGAAATATGAAGACCATTTGCAAAGACAGCAGCAAAGAAGACTTTCTTCAAAAACAATTTCACATAATAAATAAACAAATTGATTCAGATTACAATGTTGGGAAATCCCTTTAAAGAGGAAGATTTAAAATGCTTCTAGGTAACACCTGAATTGAATATACTAAAAAAAGACCTGGGATCACCTACTTTATTATTGTAGTCTTAAGAAACTAGCTGAAAACCTTCCAATAAGGCATAATTCAAATCTCCAAAATCTGCTCAATGTTAAGTATAATTAAATGCAGCTATAATGGGTTGGCCAAATCTTTTGGAGGGAGAAGTGGCACTTCTGCTTTGAGGATAATGTTGATATACTAATTAAATGCAGTTGGCTAGAAATAAGATCATAAGTGTGACTTTGTGTGTTTTTAGGTTACTCAAGATCATAGGAGGAAGGCAGTAGCAATTTCCCAAAAACAATTCCAAGAAAACAGGATGGGTTTGTCCATGCGACACCCAGAAGTCAGCATTTTCTATCATCTATTTTTATTGAAAAATAGTTGAGAAATCAGAATTAGCTCCTTCCCATATATTGTTTTTAATATACTCTCAATCCGCCAGAATTTTAAGTACTGGTAGCTTTATTCTGCAAATTATCATATCTTTATAAAGTAATAAAATAATGTGACATAGTACATTTTGCAAACTAGGAAAGATATGTCATTTTACATGATTATGTGATTTAAATAATTTTCATAATTTTTAAAATATGCAATAATGTTTATTATAATATTCAGCACTAAAATGATAAACTACTTAAGGGCCTTTCCCCACTGTTGAGTTGAAATGCCATGCATCTATCTTGAGTGGGCAGAAAACCTTTTTGTGAGATTTTCTGTCTCACATGCAAGTCCCTTCCTGAGCCTTCCTCCAAGCTCATCAGAGTGAGTTACAAATCACAACAGATTTTGCACATCTTGAGTTTGTTCTTAGTGCCAGAATAGGAGGAAAACATGACATTAACACCAATATAGCTAAGGACAACTTAAACTTTTTGACTGATGTTAAGATGATGGCAACACCAGCTATTGCTAGGGTATGGTGCTGTGAATAGACACAAATGGGAGAGCACACTAAGGTAAATGTTACAGAGGAAGAGATGTGTTGGGGCTGTGCCAAGCATTAGACAAAGATGCTTCACAAACTCTGTAAGCATAAGTGAAGCCCGCTTCCATGAAATATTAAAGCACTAAATTATTTGGAACACTTTGCAGTTCTTTCAAGAGCTATTTCTGGTTGTTTCTGTGTTGAATGTGCATATACACAGTAACAGGCAACCAAGGAGGGTTTTTCAACAGCTGTTGCAAGCCTTCCAGAGAATGCAATGGATGCTTTAGCACTTGAAGGAGATATGGGTTGTACTTTGCAAAGTGCTCCTTTTGAAAAATTTGCACAGCATTATTTTGAATTGGTTTAGCAAATGTAAATATGTTTTAAATAAAATGTTACACATAATTTTGGCATGACGATATCCATGTTATCTGTAATTAAAAATAGAGATAAATATATTACATTTCACACTCTTTGTTTACTATAAATGAGCTAGACAGTATCAAATCCATAGACACTATATTTTGTTAAACTGTAAACAAATGTGAAACTAAAAATCATATATTCTGTGCAAATAGTTTAATGAAATAGATGTAGCTGAGTAAAACTAAGCTGTTTTAAAGTTTAAAATGCAAATATAATGTAGTTGGCTTCCCTACCTTTCCATCAGTCATCATTCAAGATGACTAACAGAAAAAATCTACATACATAAAACTAAATATATAATCTGACACATATACAGTATACAGTAATTAGTAATTAGGTTTTGGGTCTAAGCAGCTTATATTTTGGTGATGAAAGATGTAAAAGAATTTTAGTTTACAAAGTTTTCAAGACTAGTATTAACCAGACAATTAAAATCTTTTTTGGCTCATGGGAAAATAGGTACCCTGACAGTATCAAAAAGAAAAGTGATGTGGCATGCCCCTTCACAAAATGCCAAACAGAGCAAAACAGTTTATTTAAAGGTGAAGTGCTGTGGCTACTCTCAGCCTCTGTCTAGTTCTGTAATGTTCTTACATTATTATATTGGGAGGCAGGGCTGAAGAAGGAATTTAGAAATGACAAAAGCACTGGGCTGAGTCGCTATTTTTATTTTCTGAGAATATTTATGGAGCTTATGTGGAATCTAAAGGATTCTTGGGAATCAGTGTGATTGGTATTTGAACTTAGATTGAATTGATTAAATTTAAATTAAATTTAGATCTTTTATATACACATTTACATGTTATTGTTTTTTACTAATCTAGGTAAAATATTAACATATATTGCTAGTTCATATATGTTATGCCACAAGCTAAGTAAGTAAGTAAGTAAGTAAGTAAGTAAGTAAGTAAGTAAGTGTGCTTGTGAAGGCCAATGCTTTCCTATTCAGTTTATCAGTTTTTTTCCAATTTTGTTTAAAACTAAAATCTTTTAGCTGTGGAGAAAGGGAAGGATACCAAGAATACACTGTACCGGTGTGTTGATTTGTGATATGTGAAATAGCCTGAATCTCCAGAAGAGAAGAAAAAAATGGCTCCAAACTTTCAAATGAAATATTAAGTCTGACCATCTAAAAGATTGCCTCTTCTTAGCACAGCATTGGGGAACTTCATGGGGGAATTTTTGGTGTTCTCAAGCAGTGTGAGTCTATACTTATATTCAGGGGTTAGTTGCCCCCACTTGTTTTTCCTCATCCGAGTATTAGCAGTCTTCTCCATCGTCTCTTGCCTGATGCTCTGTTGTTCTGAGATTACTACAGTAAGGAAAGAATTTTATCATGAGAATGGAAAAAACCCTCATAAAGTAAAGGATCTCTTCCTATGGGCTGTCTGAAGTGACTTGTGATTCTAACACTTAATTTCTATCTTTTTCTGCTTGAGTATAAGAAATCTTTTTTGCTATCATTATTTTATTTATTTATCAAGCATGTATAAGATAACATAAAGTATAAACATGATTATGAATACATGAAATTGATTCGAATAAATGGGAAGATTAGGACAAGGACGGTAGGCACTTCAATGTGCTTATGCATGCCCCTTACAGACCTCTTAGGAATGGGGTGAGGTCAACAGTAGACAGTCTAAGGTTAAAGTTTTGGGGGTTTGGGGAAGAAACCATAGAGTCAAGTTATGCATTCCAAGCATTGACCACTCTGCTGCTGAAGTCATATTTTCTGCAATCTAGTTCGGAGCGTTTTACCTTACGTTTGTGTCTGTTGTTTGCTCGTGTATTGTGGTTGAAGCTGAAGTAGTCATTGACAGGTAGGACATTGTAGCAGATAATTTTATGTACTATGCTTAAATCAGACCGAAGGTGGCATAGTTCTAAATTGTCTAAGCCCAAAATTTCAAGCCTGGTGGCATAAGATATTCTGTTGCGAGCAGAGGAGTGGAGGACTCTTCACGTGAAATATCTCTGGACTCGTTTAATTAATGTCTGATATGCAGTGCGGGTTCCAGACAGATGAGCTGTATTCGTGAGAGGATATTTAATAGCTATTTATTTCTCTAGCTAAATAATCTACTGTGTAAACCTCGACATTTATTTGAAAATATAATATATAAATAAATTGATTATAATTATATAATCAATTTATTCCTTACGCTCCAATCATATTCATGTCAGTAAATAAGCCTCATCATTTCACTATGATTCCCTGCGTATTGATATGACATCCCTTTTCTCAAAAAATATTCCACAAAAGATGGGAAATAGGTGATGTTTGTTACTGAACAAAGTACACAACTGGGTCTTTAAAATGCACTCTAGACTACTACAAATCCTATTCATACCTGTGATTTTTAAAAGATGAATAATTCACCTTAAATACCTTTGATTTCATTTGCGGGATGAACATGTGAACAGGATCCCACCAATTATTGAAAGAAGGGAACCAGTCCAACCTAGATACAGTGCGTGTCCCATTTCATATCTAGAATAAAGGTCATACATATCATATTCAAAAACCACATACAATCAAATGCTTTGTTGTTATATGTTACAGTTATTGGTACAAGAGAAAGGTGATTTTAGGGAGAAGAAAATTCAAAGAACTCCAGGTACTGATACATGGTGATGGAAGAATTAAAGATTGCTTGCACAACTGGGATGAATGCACACAAGTGCGATGAAAAAAAAGGGCTATAGTGATATGTTCCATCTGTGTTACAAAGATCAAGAATGATGAAGTTGAGTCCTTGTTTCCCATGCAGTCTAATATGTCTAAGAGACAGACATCAAGTATTGAGAAACCAAAAACCAGTAAGTTCCACAACCTGGACACTTTCCACATTTGTAAACTTCCATTCCCAGAATTTTTAATAGTGGTAAAATTGAGGAAGATTGCAATAATGCAATAAGCATTATTGTTAATTGTGTTAATCTTTGTTAACAGACATAACAAGAAACCCAACACAATTTTAATGTCAAACTTATTACAATATATGTGAATTAGCACCTACAGACTGTTCAATCCTCTGGGCAGTTTGGTAATGCTAAAAAAAATACCAAACAGAACTAAAAATATACAGAAATATTGACTTACCTTGTTCCAGCATACAAAGGATCAAAAAACTCAGTTATGATACATACTGCATACCACGAAAGAGCAACCATTGATGAGAGACCTGGCCAAACAATAAGATTAAATACAGATGAACATTACCTGTATTAGAGCCATGCAAGTCATTTGATAAGACATTTCATCTGCAAACAAAGGAGTTTTGGATCTATTCCTTGAAACTACAAAACTATCTCAGATACTTAAAGAAAGGAATAAGGTTCTTCAAGGCTCACCCAAGGTCTTTTTTTCATGCCTAAAAGATATTTTGCTAGAAAGGACTTAGAAGACCATTTCATTTGTAAGCACCTGTATCTGTATGATCTGTATAGACTAGTATGCATATATAATCAAGTTGTTACATAGTTAACAAAATTAAAACATCCGAGAAAGATCATATGAATTAGTAGTATTTTTTAAAACTGAAATAAATACCCAGAGAAGCTCCATATAATTACTGTTCTGAACTGTTTACATGAAATAATTATTTATAGTGTTAGTCTTCCAGTTGGTTGTGTTCCCTTTTTGTGGATGTATGTTGTTTTCTTTTACATTCTTCTTTAATGAGTCCCCTTCGGGGGGGGGGGGGAAGGGCAGCATATAAATATAATAAAATGAAATAATTGTAACATGCCAAAGTTGTAGAGTTGGGCAGCCTTGAAATTAAAATATTAAACTTAATTAAATTACTAGAAAAATCACCCAGAAAAAAAGGAGAATCTGTTTTCTATGACAAAATAGAAAGAAATGGGATCTATTGATGCTGACTTCTGCAAGTTAGTGGCCTCCATATATGGGGTTATAACTCCTGACATTGTAACTCAAAACATCCAGTCTTAAGCATATCTTGCTTCATACAAATGGAGAAAAAGACACCAGTGAGTTTGGACTTGTATTCTTTTTTCATTTTGTGAAAATCATCTTTAAATGTACTGTGTATACTGGCTCTTCAATGCTATTTCAGAAAACTAATGTGACCTATGCTAGAAATAAAAAAATAGCAAAACTGCAAATAAATTTAGTGATTTGTTTAAAAAACTTAATATGTCTGGTCTGTTTATCAGAGGGGGACAGTTAAAATGTCATAACCAATTAGATAAACATAGTTAAACTGTGTCATAATAAATAAGATTCAGAACACATTCTAAGGGAATTATACTTTTATTGCTTTTTAAATCACCCCAAGTAAACTTTTCAATTAACCTATTTTCATATAACCGTATTTTTTGGAGTATAAGACCCACCATCCCCCCTAAAAGAGGGTGAAAATTTGGGTGCATCTTATACATTGAATGTAGCCCCATCCACCCACCGGCCCCCACTCTTCGGCCTCTGCCTCCCAGCAATTTACCTCCTTGCAGCAAACAGAGAAAATGGGTCTTCTGGAGGTGGCAATAGGCTATGGCCGAGGTGTTGCCCTGTCAGCTGGCCAGTGTGCATGGGTGCGCTAGCCAGCTAAGTTCAGCCTTTTTTAAAGCCATCTTTCGCCCTCCCCAGGCTCCAGAAGCTTTATAGGAGCCTGGGGAGGGTGAAAAGAGCCTCCCCCCCAAGGCTCTCCGGAGGCTTCAGGAACTTCCCTGAAGCCCCAGGAGCACAAAAAATCCGGCCCTATGGGCAAACCGGAAGTTCGGGAATGGCCTTCTGGTTTGCTCGTAGGGTCAGTTTAAGCCTCCGGATGCTTCAGGGACCTCCGGAGGCTTCAGGGAAGCCTCCTGAAGGTCCCTGAAGTCTCAGGAGGGCCTCCAGGGGGGCTGTTTTCGCCCTCCCCAGGCTCCTATAAACCCCCTGAACCAGGGGAAGATGAATAAATTATGCAAAAAATGGGGGGAGCGCCTCCCATGCGCACATGTGCACTGGGGGGATTGTGCGTTGCATTATGGGTGAAGCACAGCCACGCACGACCTCCCTGCGCTTCCCCCCCCTTATAGCACGCGAGCCAAAAAAGTTTCACCATTGCTGGGCTATGGCAATCCCTGCAGCCTGAAACAGCTGATCATCAGGAGCCCCATGCTCAAACTGAAATTGAAAGTGAAACTTGCTGTTTGCTGCAACAAGGCAAATTGCTGGGAGGCAGAGGCATATTTTTTTTCTTCTAATCAGGCCAAACTGAAACAGGCTGTTTGCTGCAAGGAGGTAAGTCAATAACTATAAATGTCTATAGAATGTTCACATTATTAGATTTATTTCTAAAAAAAACTGCTGTATTATTGTTCTAGACAACTTAACAAAACGAAGAAGCTTTTTAAAATAAATGCTTGATCTGAAGAGGCCCAGTGCTATTGTATCTTCTTTTAAATAGCAGAGAACAATATATACTTCCAGAAAGCCACATCAATTTTAATAGCATCTGTACAAACAGTGTATATCTTCTGTACTGTTTGCTGTTTGGGGCAAGGAGGCAAATTGCTGGGAAGCAGAGGCAGATTTTTTTTCTCTTGTTTTCCTCCCCAAAAGCTAGGTGCGTCTTATACTTCGGAGCATCTTATACTCCCAAAAATATGGTATATTTTCCTTTAACTCATCTCATCCCTTACTTAATACAAATGACAAGGTCTCCCAAGGGACCAGCCAAGAATAAATAAAGATATTTCTACATAGTTTTAAGAAACTTCATAAATGTCCATTACAAGATTTCTCACCTGCCAAAGCAAATACTATTCCACTCATCATGGAAATTTTTATTTTTGTTTTTTCATCACTGAAACCAAGCTGAGGGCATTTCAAACTGAGTAACGCCAGCAGAATTCCACATATCCCCAATACCAGGGATATAATCATCAGAGCTCGACATACTTGAAAAAAAGCTGCAGGGAAGAAAAAAAAATACCACAGTTTTTGATTTTAGTGCAGAGCAAGTGATGTTGCCTTCGATCCATCCATTAATCAAACCTTGACTGGAAGCAAAGTGGACAGCATTCAGAATGTCATTATGGCTTTCTAATATTCAAGTATCTCTTGTAGTCAGGATTATCTATTATGGTGTTTCATATTACTTTCTGTGTACTCAGCTACTCATGAAAGATGCATAAATAAAATATTGAAAGAGAAAAATAATGTAGTTGGGGAATGTATAACATTTTGCTCAAGCAGATCCCAGCCCTAGTTATTTAGGTAGGGATATAATTATTTTTCTCGATTTAAGAAAAAAAAAATCACTGAATTTATCATGAGATTTTTCACTGCCACTACTTATATCTCGCAACTGTTTGTACATCTAGTAACTAGTACACTTCAATTGATGAAAACAGCAAAGCAGGAGCATTAAAATACCTGGAAGAAGCAAAGAGCTAAAAAAAAACCACCATACTGTATAGCATAGCTTCTAAAGAACAATTTGGGAAGATGAGAAGTAAACTGCATTGAAGAAAAATAAACCAACAGTTGCTATAGATCTTATTAAATATATGTAAGCAAATAATTTGTTTACATACATTACATACATAATCAATTATGTGTTTTTATTAAACCATTAATGCAGAGCATGGCATCATATATCAGACAACTGCCCCATTTCATGGACACGAAATTAGTCTTTACAAGCAGAATGTTATTTTATTATAGAAAGCTATACCCTTGTCACAAATTGATACCAACCATCATAAACATTGCTTTTTTCATTTTATTTCAAGTACTAGAAATGTTTATACTCTATTTCTGGCTCTCAAAATACAAATTTAAATTTCTTACACAAAAAATTATATGGACTGTTCTTTATTTGTTTTATTTTTAATATTCAAATTTCCTATAAAATGGCAAGAATATGAAGGTAAATCAAATAATATGCCTCCACAAAACGATCAACCACTTTGGCGTGAAGAAACTTTTATATTATTTTCTTTTCATAAATATAGATTTCAAATGTAGATATTTTTCAATTCAGCAAATTATTTCACTGAATAAATATGTGAACACACAAACATAAAAAAAAAACCCCAGAAATACTGTACCAGGAAGGTTTGGAATCTGTCTCTCTCCCTCTGCAACACACACACACACACACACACACACACACACACACACACAAAAACCACAAAGGCACCATGAACAACATGGGGATGTTTTGCCTGAGGAATGCTGATGCTGTCTACCTACATTTGGCAGTCTAGGACTCTAGGTTATCATGTATGGTTAGGGTTTCAGATCTGAGGATAGTCATATGAAGCAGTATGTGGTAATTTCCTGAAAAGGGTGCAATGGGAGAAATACAGCAAAACAGATGTGTTCTAAGTTAAAAGAAAACATTGGTTTTAAAGCTATCGTCCTTGGCAATTGCTCTTCAGTAGAAATAAAACATAAAATGGAATGTAATTAAATGTCATAGCTGGCTATATTTTAGGAATCAATAAAATACTTTCCAACATTTCAAGTGAAACAATCAGAATATTTTATGACACTAGAGCTAAAGCTCATTGCCTGAGTCTCCCAGTCAATAACTGTTCCAATCTGCCTTTTATAAATAACTACATTATATTTCAAGAACCATTAATTTCAGAGCTTCTAGCATATTTGAGGACCCCTTTGGCATAGTGGCCTTAATGCCTTCAAATAAAAAGCTCTGGCCTGGATTACAGTTACATTGTTACTCTAGCAGTGGCAGATGACACAAGCCATATTAAACTTAATATGACATCAATCAGAGCCAAGTCACCACTTATTTCCTGCTGCAAATGTTTTACTGTCTTGCTGCCACCAGATTAGTCTGTCTAAAAGCGAAAGAAGTTGGCAGTTTTGCTGGGGTATGCAACCATGCCAGCAGTGGTACTGTTGACAATGCAAACACTCTTTGCCCTTGCAGGTAGATATCAGGTACAGCTGAACCTGACATAATGTACAGTTCCAAGCAGTTGCTTGAGTATCCTAAATATATGTGTATAGCAGTATTCCACTAACCTAATAAGCTAAAACAGGTCTGCACAACTTGCAGAGATAAAAGGCCCACGTTGATAAATAAAAAACTAACCTCTCTTTGGTGAATGCCAGCATGGCAGCAGTGATGGAGCTGGTGGTTTGGTAAGGCCTTGCTGGCTCGATAAGGTTGGGACTACAGTATTGTTATTGTAAACTAGGGTAACAAAATCTTGTAAGCCTAAATATGCTTCAGTCTTCCTCTCACTTTATTCTTTTGTGAACTAGGGAAGGGCTGTCTGAGGTGTTTTCTCAAATTAGTGTTTTAGAACCGATTCAAGCCCTGTAATTATGACCATTGCCTTAGTGGCAGCTCTTCCTGTTTGCTATAACCTCCACATGCCTGATGTTCTGACCTGGGCTTCCCCAAAAAGCATGAGGCAGGTCCTTGACCTGACAAAACCCCTTTTATTAAACGAATGTGAATTCATCTCATTCACATTCAGCAAAGGCCTGGCAAACAGTCTTTCAAAGGAATATTTATGACTACAGACCTTATCTATCTTGGAAAGCTGCCATGTAAATATTTTCCAAATGAGGTGTTGTGCAAGGAAAGACTGGGCAGAGATGTTCACAGACAGATGTTCACATTCCTGAAATGAATCTAATGACCGAACGAACGAATTGTTTCCTGCAAAAGCCCACTTCGCTTTCGCTCCTCTTTTATTTCCTATGGAAGGGGGGTAATCACCTTCCATTGTGACTTTACTCCCAAATCTACCCTGATTTCTGAGTAGTTCTGTTCTTCTGTCAGCTCTGCGCATATGCATACTGGGGAGGGCTCTAGCTGTTCCTCTGCCTCACTGATGTCTAGCTCCGTAGGCATCTGATCAGTACTAGATGGCCTCGGCCCCGTCTCTGTCTCTGACACAGAGCTTTCATTTGAGCTTTCCCCAGCCTCCAGGACAGGCCCATGCTCCTTCCCAACCTCCTCACTGTCCGACTCTGCTGCTAGCTCTGCTGACCATTGGCGGGCCACATACCTGAAAGCCCTTGGCAATGTATCTTCAAGGCAGCAATAGCTCATTCCTGGGAGGGGGAACATTTGACTGTAGATTTGTTGAGGTTTAAAAAAAACACATCAGCATGCTGTATATACAAGGCAGCTTGGTGGGCTAAATGTTGTGATGGGTTTAAAGGTTGTTTATTATTTTTACATCAATATTGTAAAATGTCCAGAATGTCTTTGACCAAATTATTGACCTTTCAAGCTGTAGCTGGTACAGTACACAGTGGGGCAGGGAATTATGTTTCTATGAGTTAATGATAAACCTCGTCTTTGGAAACAGCATTGGTTGCCAGTATGTTTTGGATTCAGTTCAACATAGTGGCAGTTATCTACAAAGCTCTTAATGGCATATTGTTTCATATTTTTTGTATTTTTCAGTTAATATTTATGCTGAAAATATAAAATGTAAGCATTTTATGCTTACACATATTGTATCAGCTTGTCTCACAATTGTCCAATTCTGGTCAAATATTCATAAGTTTGTTCATAGGATTTGGGGAAGAATCATATGATTGAAGATTTTTTTTTTATTACAGAAAGGCAACTTCATTTCAGATTTATGACAATGGAGTTTAAAATGATATTTTTCTATATTGTGATATCTTTGAGGATTTTTTTAAAAAAAATTTTTCCTCTTTTTCCCCTTATTTTTCTAGAATAAAGCAAATATATTTTAATAGCCTCAGTGGTTCCCATGAAGGATTCCAATTTTAATGTTTATATAAATGTAAACTTTTTGAAATTCAAGCTCTAAAGTCTTTTACAGCATATTAAGGATAGAATAATTAAAGCCTTTTCTAGCATCTCATATTAAAAAAAAATCAATAAAACATGCCAAACAGAAAATATACACATGGGACAGATATCAGAAAGTAGGGAGACTGGCACAGACTTATGTTCAAACATCAAAGAAAAGGAAAGCCATAGAGAGTATATATAATTCTACGCTCTATCTACTGGCAGTGCTGACATGACTCAAATGTAGGCAAACTATATTATTTCTATATGTTGTTTCCAACACTATCAATGTTTTCACTAACAAATAAGTTCAACCCAGTATTAAATCAGAATTCTATGAATTCTATGAATCTATGAAAATGTATAGATTTGCATAAAAATTCTTTCATATAGTTTGATAACATATAATATTAAATAAACATATTCATAGTGTTAAAAACACAATAACAACCCATCATTTATATATAAAAACAAAACTTACTGTCTGAACTTAACGGGACATACAATGTATTGCACTGAATTAAACCCAATGAAGTAGCTTCGCAATTCATCCACAGACCTTCATACTTCCAATTTGTAGCATTGACTATACTTGATATTCTCCAATAGCTGGATGCAGTAGTAGTAAGTAAAAATATAAAACTCAGAAAAAGAAGAAGCAATGCTGGTGTTTTAAAAGCTGTCAAAGCCATTCTTCAAGAAAAAAATATATGAAGTAGTTTCCTTTTCAAATTGTGCAAACAGAAGCAGATTTCTATCTGTTGATATTCTGTTGATAGCAAGCAATAAATTTTTTAATATTTATAATAAAATGCAAAAATAAATGTTATTTATAAAAAGTTTTCACAGATAAAATGTTGATTCAATTAGCATTCAAGTTTCAGTTCTATTACAAAATAAATTAACTAAATAATAATATTTAGATTAAACTGCTTGAAATACATAAACTTAATATATAACTTAAATGTCAAATATCACTTTAAAATATCCTTACTTTGATAAATGTTTTATCTCCTATGCAGCACTTCTAGTCCTGAGTCCTATGAGCAAATTTTGACAATCAGTTTGCCAAAGTTAGGTAAATATTTCGTGATATATAAGACCTTAGATCACTTGTTCCAAAAATCAAGGCTTCTCAGCCAGTTCATTGACTTCATTGATCAAATGAAGGCTGCAATCCTGTACATACATGTGGGCAAAAACTGCTGAACATTGTATTTCCGAATAAATATATGTGGAGTTGTATAGTAAAGCTTTAGATATTTTATGGTCTCCAAAAATGAAATTTGTTTTATGATTTCTTTCTTTTCCAAGGGAAATTTTTTTGTAGTATTCTAAATAAGTATAGGCTAATTTAATCAGAATGGTCACACAGCATAGGGAGTTGCCTATTCTCAGATCATTACAACGCATCTAGTTTCAATTTTGTGGGACATGTTATATATACAGTAAATTATCATGCTATATAATTTTCTCCCAACTCTTGAAAAACTGGATCGGGCAGCTGGCATAAATATGATGATATGGAGAGAACCATTTTGGATTGTATTGATTTTTCCCAGCCATTTAATTCCTTATCCCAAATCTTCAATAAACCTGATCATGGTAGGACTAGCAGATGTGGAGTGCAAAAATTTGGATGACTACAGACAATCCCTGATCTACGGTATGTCTATATGGGCAAAATATAGATAGTGCACTTCCTCTAGAAATGTACTAGTCCAGAAATCCATTCTAATGCAGGTATTTTTCATGGCTGCTTCCAGAGCTGTGCTGGTCACAATAATAACTCTTCAGAGCAGATGCTCCTGGCAGTGACTTCTGCTTCTTATTTCTCTTGCCCACATTAATGAACACACTTTGTTTCTTCTTTCTTATAGTATCTATATGGGAGGAACAAATATTTCATTTTAGTGAGCACTCTGTCCCCAAATATCCCTTTTACAAGGGCAAAGTCACTGTTTGCTATTCAGCTTTGAGATGCGAGGAAATATTTTTTTTAAAAAAACCCGGAAGAATGACCCCAATTGTTCTAAAATGGCGCTTAAAGACTACAAACGGAGTGGGGGGGGCGGAGGGGGCGACAACAAGGCATTTGGCCTTTACTTTGAGAGACCCCGGAGACCAACCACTTCAGTGCGGAGGCGGGACTAATGCTATCCCTTCTCAGCCATATGCTAAGAGAAAAGCTATAGCACCCTTCTTGTTTCCTTTCGCCGACATGACGCCCTCAGATGAATACGGGCAGCGGCTTCAAGATGGTGGATAATTGTGGCTCCTAACCCGGAACTGTTACTTTGGGAAGGTGAAGAAAATGGGGTGGAGGTGCTGTACCCGTGTCTGGGTGAAGCAAGGGTTATGGGGTAGTGGACCATGGGCCCGCAGGTAAGACGATATAACATAACTCCACGTAAAAAATAGAGTTAACCGTCGGCGGAGAAGGTACTGATAAGCGTTCATTGCTAAGCCCTCTGCCTGACAAGTTAGCTATCCATATTTCCGCCTAGAGTGAATCCCATGTTAAGCGCGTGCCATGCGAGCCCAAGCATTTGATTAATTTACAAACTATAGTTAATGATGAATAAGATGGTCGTGTGGACGTAGCCATTGACGCGCGCTGAGGGAGCATAGGTGGATAGAGGGAGGAGTTGCAATACTACTGCAAACTTCAGCGTGGTTTTATATTGGGCAGTATAGGAAAAAAAAACCACAAAACTTCGGATGACTACTCTTGGAAATTGAAATGGCGGAAAAGTGGCTTAATTTGTTATAAGGACTATATGGGGGGAAAACACAGTAAAGTCCTTTTCTGTCCCGGGCTAAGAGCACTAGGAAGGGATGCTAAGAAGGCGAAAATCGCCATAAAAATCATATGTGGGGTGTGGATGTTTTAGTCTTTGAAGCGGTGACAGTAATAGGAAGCCTAACGGAACCTTTTGACTTTTGCAATATTTTCTTCTCTTTAAGGATATAGTGGCTTTGTTTTTCTCCAGTTGTAGATAACTGCTAATATTTAAAACAAGCATAAGTCTATAATGTATACCGTTATTAGGTTATGATTCAGACCAATATTTAAATATGTAATGTTTAAAGAAATGGTGGGAAACTCTTGATGTAATTATTGGATTGAAGCCTTTTCTACACAATATGAAGATTTATTTTGATTTAATTTTTTTTAATCCCACCTTTATTAGTTTATAGCTAAATTAAAGTGGTGAATATTATTTCATTTCCCTCAAAACAACAATCCCGCAAGCTGGTTGGGCTTAGAAAAAATTATTTGGACCATTTCAATCAAGATTTAGGATTGGCTGTATTACTGAGATGGCGTTGATCACACTTGCCAATAACCTGTAGTGGGCTCAGAATGGGCTAGCATATGCATCCTGCTGTCCTTGGTCTTTCAATAACTTTTGTTGCTATCAGTTGTGATAGGGGTTGATTAAGGAGATTAGGAGGGGAAGGCATGATGTTATAGTGGTTCCCTTTTGTTGGAGTTGGTTCCAGACAATGTTAGTACTTTGGGGTGGGATTGAGTCTGAAACCAATGCTTTGTTAGATGCTCACATATAATATTGTCAATTGAGTATGTAAGCAATAAATTTGAAAATTGCTCAACCAGAAGAAATAGTTTTTGTTCTAAGTGTGTAGTAAAAAAATCTAGTTACTGAAGGTTTCTTCTGAAGAGTAGTACTAGATAATAAATAGTAGAACTTGAATTTAAAGAGGCTACATTTTTTACACAAACAAATCATCCTTGAGTCTCCTTGCATCAAAGTATTCTAAACGTTGATTAGCAGGTGGGTTGCAATTGTAACAAGCAATTAATTTTTTATAAGCTTCATTTTTAATTCTTTGTATGCAAGGTTTCACTGAAAATCATTCTGCATGTATCAGGTTTATACTACTGGACCCTTGAGGTAGAATATAAGCAAAAATAATGTATTTACATAATAGGACAAGTAAAGTAGTTAATAGAATATGAGGTTTTTTTTTCTGATAATGTTATTGTACAATCATTGTATATCTAGAATATACATTATAGTAAAGTTACAGTAGAAATAGAAGTTTGATTTTACATCTGATTGATAGAAACTAATATTTCTTTGAAAGTTGGAAACATTTCAAAATATTTTATGATTAAAGTTTTTTATTATTTCTTATTTATCATTTTTATTGGTCCCCATTTTTCCACAGGATAATTTAATTTATGATTAAAATGTATTTTTTGAACAGGTCTATTCTGTTTACACATCCAAAAAATGGATTCAGAAGACCAGCGCTGAAAACTGGCACTAAGCTACAGAAAAGCAGTTTGACTCCTCCAGTTAAGGACCTGGATTTTCATGAATCTTCCCGTTCATTAAAGAAGCTAGTGAAACCTTTCTTCTTTACAATTGGGGTAATAATTTGTTGATAATTCCATGTTGCCGCCAACTGCTGTAGTTGGCAGCAGTTCTGGTGGATGAATATTTGTGAACCATTTAGAAATATCTGTAATCCTGTAATGCTGTGAGCTACAATGTCACCTAAGCTTCCTCAAGTTCTATTAATAGGTAAAGAGCTTATGGTTAAAGAGAAACCTTAAAATGACATACTGTGTCATGTATTTTTTTCAATACCATGAACCAACTACCATTATCCTTGTTGGAAGAAATGTATGAAGCTTTAGATTTAGTAATTTATTTTCTTTCACATAAATAACTTCACCAAACATTTCCCAAATCATTGATAAATTGTGCACAAACTCATTGATATTTTTGTGTTTTTGTAAATGAACATATCATGTAACAACATTTGAACTGGGTTAAAGTTAGAGTTTGATTCATCCATTTTGAAATAAAAAACATTCTTTTTGTAAAAGCATTCTGTTGATGATTACGATTTCTGTCATGTGACATAATGCATTTCACTGGCAACCATTGAATCTTGGGTTTTTATATCTGATTGGAACATCTCTCTTAGCATGCCCCTTATCACACCCTTTTCCCAACATGACTAATGAACATTGGCTCAATACGTTCAGTAAAAATATAAAATATACACAATTTGAAGTTGTATGTTTTTAACCAGAGTTTGTTTATTAATTCAATGTCAGATCTGAATACATTGTAAGTTATAGTAGTACAGAATAACAGATGGGTTCACAAATTTTCTGTCACTACAGAATATTATTAGTATTAACGAAATTTTGAAGCAAATAATATGCTGCAGAATTTCTATAGAAGATAATGCTCGTTTAGACAGTCTACAGCAGCAGTATGGACAATGTAAGTGCATTTTCAGAGTATTTAAATGTAAAAGTCACACAGTTGTATTTTCAATCTAAAGACCCCATGAATTCAGAGTTCATGTGTTCTCTTACTGTAATCACTGATTGTAGATGTTACAATGCAATTATATAAAGTCTTTTGTAGCTTAATTGGAACATTTCCATTGTAGTAGTAGTAGTATGTCTGCTATTGTCTCCATCTTAATGACTTATGTTTTGTCTGAAATTTTGATTAAACCTATCCCTAGCATTCTTTAGTTTTCAGGCTGTGCTTTTGGAACAGCTGCTATTTGGCAATATGAACATCTCAGAACCAAGTTCCAAAACTATTTTGAAAATGCTCAAGCAGACTGGCTGGATAAAATACAACCACAGAAAGGACTCCACTTCAGAAAGCAGGTAGAAACATGTTACTCTGTATTCTTAATATTTTCTTCCTATTCTGTATTACACAGTTATGATTCAACTTATTTCATCAAGATAAATAATTCCCCAGCCAAAATAGCTATAGATAGTCTAATGCATCTGAATGGTGTTGTATTTGGAAAAGCTATAATAGAATATTGCTATTAATGTTATTAAGAATGCAGCCATTATTGCAGATGCTCTTTAATTTTTCCTCTAGTGCAATAATATTCAGGAAATGTTAAGTGGATTAACATATTTCAAGAGTCAGCATGAGGAAAAGATATAAAGTATTTAATATTAAAATTGTTGGACCTATTAGCTTGCTTGCATTGAGTGATGGAAATAATTGTATTTTAAAGAGCTATAATTAGTTCATTCA